TTACAGTTTTTCAACCCCTACCTCCACTCTCAGTAAACTTTTTATGACTGGCCTAGCCACATCCTGGTCAGTCCTCGAATGCTCCAAGTGCACTTGCAGAGGAGAGTCATCCCTCCATACCACTTGAAGTCTTAACTCTGGCTCTTCCTCTTCCTTTCGTATGACTGTCACATGCGCTGTCACCTGAGCATTCAAGGTGGATCCCACAACTCAGAAGGTTGAAGACCACTAGATTAGAGTAACAGAATTGGTCTATGAACTCATCCAGGGATTTTAAAACTCTTCATGCCGAGAGCTGATTCAAATGTTTAGTTATCTGAGTCTGGACAACATCACATCAGTTTCAGCTCTTTTGTGTCATCGTGAAGGGTGAAATAGTGATGCAAACTAAGAAAGATTCATGTACGCAGTAACGCATCACATAGGCGTAATCTTCGTGGGGGCGGCGGGCGTCAGCCCACGCCGAAATTTTCAGGAAGGTGCTCGGCCTCCCCCGGGAGCCACCCTTGCTCCTAGCAAAGCAATGCCTCTGGCCCAGCCCCAGCCCCCCCCCCCCCGGGAAATTGGAAAGTCTACACCCTTGACGCATCAGTTTCACATGTAAAGCTGCCAGAGAGAGAGTTTTCAAGGCTGGTGGGCTGTATGGGATGTCTGCCACACAAACAAAGACAGTTCTGTTTGTGGTTTGTTTCTCTGCACTGCAGTATTTAAATGGAGTATCTTCATTGCATTGTGATGCTCCCCAACTCTGTCAGCAGCTCCCAGGAATGCAATACATGGGCTCAAAACATAATACTGGTTCCGTATTGGGTGGGTAGGTGGGGGAATGATTGTGGTCCAAGATGCCATTTTAAGGATCTTCCCTTTGGCAAATGTATCATGTATGCCAGCCTTCTCCCTATGATTGAGTTGGCCCTGCAGGCTACCACTCTGGCCAGCGAGGCAACCATCTGGTGCGAGTGCAACACTTGGATCATTGAAACATCTTCTGATGATCAAACAGGTGCTCCTATATACAGGCAAGATCAGATGTGGTACTGGAAATTAGTATTGCATTGTGGTAGAGAAGGCAAAGGAGAGTAAACATGGCAAAATGCCCAGAGGCCCTTTTTCACCTCCATGGAGTAGTGGCACTGAGCACTTGTTTGCCCGCAAAATACCTAGCCAGTAAGAGGAAGGAGCACAGATGTTGCTCTTCTGGGTCATCATGAGGACTGAAATAGTAATGCAAACTAACAAAGACATATGTAGAGCTGTTCAGGCTGGCAGGCTGTTGACAGTTTAAAGTCCGGCTGGAACATCAAAAAGGGCATTTGAGTGGCTGGTCTGCAGCTCATCACTGCCACTTAGAAGGCTTGTGTTCAAGGGGGGGGGGAGAATATGTTGGCCCCAGAACCTTGTAAGGCTGAAACCAGAATGCCAGAAGAGGAGAGCTTTGACAGCAGAGGGAGATATGTTAAGTGAGATAAGAGGAAGATAAGCGGAACCTGTACCACATGGAGGCTGAAACTGATCTTGGGGCAGCAAGGGTTGCCGGGTCCCCAGCATTTCAGGCTTCTGGGGTGGGGCCTCGTGAAGTTATATAGAACAGTACTGCCAATCACGGTTCTTCCACACACCACTAGGAATTCCGCCCTATGGTACCTATGAAAGTATGCAGTGTTTAAAGATGCTTGGCCTGTGAGGGGGTAAGGAATGTTAAGCGCGTTGGCTCTGGGGGGGGGGGATGCAGTAGAGAGGAGACAGCAGCAAGGGGGGGGGGTTTCGGAAAGCAGCCTTAGAGCTGGTGTGGTTAGGGTTGCCATCCCCCCAGTTGGGGCATGGGTTCCTGGCAGGGGTCATTTCGTAGAAAAAGAGCTAGGGGAACTCATTAGCATAACTCATTAGCATATGCCACACCCCCTGACATCAAGGGCCCGGCGGTGGACCTGCAAGGCCAGCGGGAGTGTGAGGAAGCTCCGCCAAGGCCCTCCCTGGTCCCAGGCAGGCAGGGGTGGGGAGTGGCAGGGAGGAAGCAACTTACCCTCCCTCTTCTCCTGCCTCCTCCTGGCTGAATGAGGGCTGGAAGCGGGGCGGCCGGAAGCAGGGGGCGGGGCTTCATCATGTGCCCCACCCCCCTGCACCTCACCCAGGGGAACTGCGTTCCCCCGCGTT